GACTCCCTGCAGGCTGTTGAATGGAAGCTCCCATCAGCCCTCAGTTTTGGCGACGGTGGATAGGGCAGGTGGGAGCTGCAGAACACCATACTTTCCCTACTGCTGACATGGATGATGGACACAGACGACTCACCCTTAATATCTCCCTCCCCGCACACGCACGCACGCACGCACACACGCACACATTGGCTGCGTTAAGATAACTCAGAAAGCCATGGTGGGTATTTCTTTTTCCCATTGTTGGTCTGTCATGCTGTCTGAACCCCATCATGGTATTTCACCAGGGTACATTTGGTCTATAGAAACCCTGTAAGAAACAATGGTTTGTTCTGTGGTTTCCCTGTACTTGTCATGTTGTCTGAACCCCGGATCATGGTTTCCGTGGTCCCACAACCACGGCAGAACCCTCTGGAAAGAGTGGCCATCACAGGAGCCACAGCCATCCAGCCTCTCTGTGTGACCAATAGGGAAGAGGCAGGGAGTGGTGCACCGTGGGACTGAATTTCAGGCACAGCAGATACATGCAGACAGTGGGGCGACTGAGTGCGGAGGATGGAAACCATGTTAACGCTTGTTTGTCAGAGGGAGCACAGTAAGAAATGGTGACCACCAGGCCAACCAGGCAAGGATGCTTGTCACGTTATGGGAACGCAGCCATTCCTGCGCTCCCTCCTCTGCCGCAAGCGACCACTTCTGCTCCCTTGGCACATGCATGAGAATAAAGGCAAAACGCCAGCCAACCGGGGACAATATTCCAAGCAGAAATGCAGTGGATCTTGGCCCTGCATGGAAAGTTTCCCAGCACTGTGGCCAACTGTCTCCTCCGTATATATTCTGGGACTCGTTATTTTACCTTTTCTTCAGTCCTTCTTGGCTGGCATTTTCAACGAGGACAAGTTAAAAATGAAAGGAGAAGCTCTGATAAAGCTCAGCTGTTGTTCTTCAGTTGTGCAACAAATTTAGCAGCACTCCCAAATTGCGGTGCAGGAAATTGCTTTTGAGCAGGAGGCCAAGTTGCACAAGTTTGAACATTTGCAGGAGTCACTCGTGGGATCCTGCATTTGAGCAATAGGCCTCTTTCCTTTAACCCACTTGATCATTGCTGTCCAGCCCAAATAGAAAGGAAAAGTGGGTGATTAGGGGGGAAAAAGAGTCTTGTGATACGAAATGCTGGGCATTTTTTGACCACTGTGCAGCAGTTTGCGTGTACATATTTGAGGACAGCCACGTTACACACGCAGTGGAATCGTAGGTGAGGTCAGAGCTGGTCCTAGATGCTGGAGGGCCCCTGGGCGAGGCAGCCCTGATTGTCCCCTCCATCCGCGTGCCTCCTCGCCACCCTCCCCAGCCGGCGTTTCTCCTCATCCTTTTGCTCCCCATTGCCACGTCCTGCTTGCCTGCCTGCCAGGAGGACCTGCATCCTTCAGGCCAGGTGGGGAGGGAGGGAGTGGAGCAAGCAGGTTGCTGGGGGAAGAGGAGGCACAAGGCAGGGCGCCCTTGCCAGGGGGCGTCTACTGGGTGTGGGATCCAGGCAGGCGTCGAGCCGTGTGCCCCCCGTGACGTCAGCCCTGCGTGGACGGTCCTGCTGCAGACAGGAAATTGCACGCTGGACTGTTTCCCCTCGTATGGCCCTCATTGGGCTTTCAGAAAGCCTCTCCTTACCCCTTCCGCCCTCCTCCATCAGCCCAAGGAGGCCCAGGAATGGGTTGGGACCTGTGCCCCATTCTCCATACACACTGCCGTTGCGAATGGCCCAAAAGCTCCTCCCTTCACATCACCATCCGGAGCATCAGGAGAGCCCTTCGCCCTCCCATGTAGCTCTTCTACCCGTTTCTCCCCAGATGGGGCATCATCCAGCCACGCAGCCCTGAAATGCCAAGTGGACGAGGACAACAGTCCCTGGCCCACATCACCCTGCTGGTCTCGCCAATGCACCAGCAGCCAGAGAGAGGTCGCCGCCCCTTCTCGTGTCCAGCAGCCTAATAGCCAATGCCTGGCAAGTTATTTTTGCCCCCAAGACAGAAAACCCAACGGGTGCTTCTGCTAGGAGTGAACAGGGGAAGGGCCTTCTTGGCTGTGGCACCCCCGTTTTGGAATCAGTTCCCAGGGATAGTCAATTGGCACCGGCTCTACATGCATTCCAGCTCCGGGTGAAAACCTTTTTATTCTCTCGCCATTTTAATTATCGATATCCTTAATGGGTTTTATATTGGTCTTCATTATACTTTACCAGTACATGTGGATTGTTGCTAATTATTGTCTTTTATTGTTGATTCTCATTTTGGTCCAATTGTTATTGTTTATGTTGCCTGAATTGTATTGGTCCCATTGGTGTTCTATGATTGGTGCACATGTTTTAAAACTGATTGCTATTGCTGTTTTAAATCAATTGTGGCTATTGTACACTGTTTTATTAGGGTGTTATTGTATAACCATTCTGCGAGCTGGGTGCTAATGAATGGGATCTAAAAGCATAAATAAATAACCAGACAATGCCATCATAGTAAACTATTAATGCAAAAGGTGCTGCCCTTTCAGGAGACCCTGAAGCAGTTCCCCAAAGCTGCCGCCTCAGCCCTCTGCCTGCTCAGTGCCCAAGTGGCGAGTCTGATGTCGAAAGCAAACTGCCAGGAAACAGCCAGGCAGCGGACCCTGGCGTACAGCCGCCACCTCTTCAACATGCAGAATCCTTCCCCTGCACAAAGCGCAAATTTCAGCTGCCACGACGGAAAGTGTAACCGACTTGCACTAATTCCCAGAAGCGGTCTGACTGCAAAGCAGAGCGTGGGAACTGTTGAGCTGCTTTGCAGGGCAGGTTCGTGGCTGCAAAGAGGCTGTCGTATGGAGCCAAGCCAAGCCAAGCCAAGCCAAGCCAAGCCAAATGCAGGCCTGAGTTCAAATCCAATGACACTTTGCTGTCGCCAGAGCAAGGCTTTAGCACACAGAGCCACATCCCCTGCATGTGTGGAACATCATACATATGCATCTTTCACGTAAACCTGCACAAAATAATGTGCCTAGAAAGGCAGTATAGAACCATTAAAATGGATAAAAATAAATACCTGTTGTCCCTCCTTAAAAAAAAAAAAAAAAGGCTGGGGAAGAGGCCTTAGCCACACGTCATATTCTGCGCAGAGCATGGGCAAACAACGGCTCAATCCCACACCTGAAATGTTCACGGTATGTTCACCAGGAGGGGAGCTGCAGCTGGCTCATCACGCTGGATATATGGAATATCATCCAGAGCAAATTTCATTTGCTGTAATATTCAATCTGGGACTTGCTTGCCCACAGAAAGGGAGCAAAACCACCTGGAAATCAGAGCAGGGCTCAGCATGCCGGGGAAGGGAGCTGAAAGTACGAGGACTATCGAACTGCGAGCGCACCCCCCACCGAAAGCGCAACGAGTGCTGATCCTGCTCAAGCGCGCGGCAAGAATGTCGAGCGCCTCTTGAAAAATGAAAATGGAGCGAAGGGAGAGAATTTGCTTCCTTGAGAGCTCCTAACAGTTCGCAATATCTTACTGCAACATTTTCTTGCAAGCCTCCGTTGTGTCCGTATCCTCAGTGTTCACCAAAGGTTTGCTCATCAAAGCTCTTTTTAACGGCATGGACTCGGAGATGTGTTTCACTTAAACCCCGATAGGTTTATACGTCAAGGATCGGATTTTTATTTTTAAAAATTGCTCGCCCACAGTGATGTTTACTCCTTGCATCATGAACTATCCTTCCTGATGAGAAGACAGCATGTCCAAACCTCCATGAGCATCGTCTTGTAATGGGGGTTCATGCTGCTGTGCCTCTACGTTAAGAGTGATGGCACAATCACAACAGATGCAAAGATGTAAGATCATCTTCAGAGGTCCTTCTTGGAGACCCCCTCTAAAGGTTATAAGGAGGGCAACAAGGGGAAGGGCCTTCTCAGCTGTGGCACCTGTTCACGGAATCAGCTCCCTGAACAGCTGCACATGATGCCAACTCCTGAGTCCTTTCAGTGCCAAGCAAAATGTTTTCCCAATTTTGGGGGGATTTAGATATGCGTTGTATGTTATATGCTTTTTATTCCAGTTTTCTGTTACCCCAGGCTCATTTGGTATGCCTTCTATATGTATTTAATACAGGCAAGATTTATGCGTTGGGCCTAGGAAGTCTGTTGTGGTCGTTATTTATGTGGGTATTAATGTAGACGTTTTACTTATGGCCATTCTGTAAATTGTTAATGTTTTGTGAAGCGTTTAGAGAGCTGCTGGTTATTGAAGGGTATATAAATATTTGAACAAATAAATGCATAAATAAAACGTGACAGAATCCTCCAGCTCAGTGCGGGCTGACTGGGCAGGAAGAACAGTGACAGAGACACAGCGAGCCTGGTTATCATCTGGGCAGGGTTCCTTCAGCTATTTTTTCTTCATCATCAGAAGCAAGTGAACAAGGCAGACACATAGTCCCATCAGGCACTGATGGGATGGTGGTAAAATCACAGCAGTGACTCATGCGGGAACACAACAAGCTCCCTCCCTCCTGATGGCCTCAGGACCAGTGGAGTCATCCAATCATACCCTGCAATATCATGTTTCCCTGATGCCCACCAAGCGAGAACGCCAAATCCCAGAGAAATGCTTAGGCAGGTGCCTCTATGGGACCATCCTTTGAGCCCAGAGGGATCCTGCGCCATTCTATTTATTGACCTTTGCGTGCTGGCCGTTCTTTCGCAACCCACCGGGCTGCCCAGAGGAGTGCCTTGTGCACTTTGTCTCCGCTAGATCATCCGAAAGCATCAGTGCTGTGTACATCACCGAAATCGGGCACAGGCCTTGCGGCAAACTCGCATACTAATTGCCTCTGCGGTGAGTGTGAAATTAGTCAGAGGGAAGTTGGAGATGTCGAAAAGGGGGAAACTTCTGGGCAGAAGAAGGAGGGAGGGCCAACATCCCCTTGCACAATGGTGCCAGTCGTATAAAAAGGGGGCATTTGCCCCCAGAGTCTTCTGAGAGAGACTCTTGCCAGCCAGGTTGACTCCTGAGTCTGTTCTGAAGTTGCTGTCCATTCCACCATGTGGGCAAAGGTACGGCTGTGGGTTCCTTCTCTGCATAGCAGAGGTGGTGCAGGGGAGGCAGGGACACTGCAATAGCAGACTTTGACAGCAGGATCATACACCCTTCACAGATGGCCTCGCGAAACAACCACCTGTGTACCTCACAAATCGAGGGCTATTGAATCCTTGAGGACTGATTTACAAGTTAACTTGGTAGTGGGTACTCTATATATCTGCATAATCATTAACAAAATTGTGAAGAGGGCTGAATAATCTTTATACCCTGGGCAAGCTTTTTCCTTCTGTACACAATGGGAAGAATTGCTTGGTTTTTAGTATATAACTGTTTTATTTGCTTTCTTACTGCTTGCTTTTATTTGTCATGTACATTGTCTCCTGTTGCTATGTTAATAATTGTTTTAAGATGTTGGATTAGGTTTTTTTAATTACTGATTTTATTCTGTATATCATTGTTTTGTGAGCTGTCTAGAGAGCCCTCTGGCTATGGAGGGGACATTGTTGTTGTTCTTAGTTGGGAAGTTGTGTCTGACTCATCGCAACCCCATGGACAACATTCGTCCATGGAGGGGACATACCAATGTCACAATTAATTAATTAATATTACTAGTACAAAGTTTATTTGGGATGGGAAACCACATAGACATGCCAAAAAAAGGGAGTGCTTGAATAAAATTTCATCCTCAAGAGAGGGGACAGAATACCAGACATAAACTTATAATTTCCACCTTCAGAATTAGCAGCTGTACAATTCGGATGCTCTGACATCCCCAGAGAATTAAGCCATTGGCGAAAGAAGGAAATAAGAAAGGGGACCACTCGGTTAATAGAAAGATGGTAGTACAGTGACAGAGCAGATGTTCTACATGGTGGTGGCCCCAGGCTCAATCCAGCTCATCTTCAGCTGAAAGAATCAGGCTGCCCCTGATGGAGGAGACCCTACAGAATAGAATCATACAGCTGGAAGGGCCCTAGCAGGTCGTCATGTCCAAATGCCTGCTCCGTGATGGACTAAGTCACCCATCCAGATTTCAACAGGCCTGGCTTTACTTAGCTTCCAAAATGAGGCAGGATCAGGTACTCCAGGCTACACAGAAGCCCTGGTGAGATCCACTCCCAGCCAGACAGTTCAAGGAGCCTGAGTGTGGCAACTTCCATTGTGCCGCTGTGGAAAAATTGGGGAACTGGGATTTGGGAAAAGGTTGTAGCAGGGAACAGTTTCATGAGAGCTGAAAGGGTCATGCTCGAGGCATCACTTCCCATCACACGCACCAGGTGTGAAACCTGCTAAGTGCCATATAATCCATCACCTACGGGTGGCAGCCCAGTTAAGGGCTATGCAACCTTCCCATTCTCTCTTCACACCCAGGAGAGCCAACCCCGCCGCCCCGGACAGGGTGGTTGTCTGGTGGGCCACCTTGCATGGACAGCCCAGCACAGTTTCGCTTGGCCAGCTCACAAATTGTGCAAGCTTGCCCTGCACATCCACTTCTTTTGTCCCACTGCTGTCCCTGGCCAAACAGAATGTGCAGGTTGTTTTAAAAAAATGCCCAAAACTCACACTGGGTGAACAGGGAATGGGTGAGTTGCGGACACATGCCACGAAGGGCAATGGATTCACTTCTGCTACTTGACAGAGCTTGACAGAGCTTCAGCTCTTGGCCGATGCAGAAATAAAACAAATAATAATATTGTCAGGTCTCTGGTAAAAGTTGGGTAAGACAGAGAAGGCAGAATAATGGCAACTGGGTGCTACAATTGCACGTAAAGGAATTGCATGTAAATGGCAGCTACTGGGGTTGATGGTGGAGAACAGTGACCATTAAGAGAGATCAGCTGCTTGTTTGTTCTTCACCAGAACATTACCGGAAATTTTGCTAATGTGATCCACGGACTGAACGCAAGCCATCTGACAGACGTGGCTGTGAAGAGGAGCAAGCGCATGATTCTTGATACTTTAGGCGTTGGGCTGCTTGGCACCAGAACGGATGTCTTTGAGAAAATAATCCAGTACAGTAAGGTGAGATGATCGAAACGTACGTTGCAGAGAAAATGCTGCTATTTCGAGGCAAGCAAATGCCTGAGAATCTCCTAAGCTGTGAGAGGCTGAGGGTTGGCTTTAACTGGGCCGCAGCTGCAAGTACCCTGTGCTAGACTGAAAACAAAGCAAAAGCCAGAAGTGTGCACAAGATGAATCCAATTTCCATGAATGCTGCAATCTTGTTGATATTAATTGAATCCATGTCCATACCATATCTTAATCCATGTATGCTTAACCATATGTTAAAAAACACAGACCTGCACGCTTTACAAAATCAGACATTCAAATACTTCATAATACACAAAAACTCATCAGTTAAATTGTTAGCTTTCCACGCAACTCATCTTAAAATGGTTTGTCAAATGGTTTCCATGCCGTTTGTCTTTGCAACTCTTTTGCTGGAGTGATAGAATTCTGAGCCTCGCTTGCAGTTGAAGGAACACAGAGCAGAGAGAACAGCCCGTTTGTCTTGTCCCTGAAACCACATGTGAATCTTATTGCAGATCTACAATTCGGATGCATCCAGTTCTGTTTGGGCCCAGCAGGAGCTCCGCCTGCCTCCCCTCTATGCAGCTTTCGTGAATGGCGTGGCGGTAAGGAGCGCTCTATAACGATTGTGCTCACCTGTAGAGGTGGAATGGATCGTAAGCTCTTTAAGGATGCAACCCAAAGCGAGTTTAGCCAGAAAAGGGGCCTACAACTCCCAGCTGGCGGGGGATGCTGGGAGCTGGAGGCCATTTATTCAGTCGAAACATGCATGGGGTCAAGCCTTAAGGTGTTTTGGGTGCTCTTCAAGGTGTTCAGTCTGAAAGTGCCATTCTTAACATCTCGTAAAGTGCAGTCCTGTATAGCTGCTGTAAATCGTAATGCGTTCAATAGAGCCTATTGAGTTTGACAGATCTCCCACATGTGGCTTGGCACTCAGAAGCAGGCTGCCAAGATATTGTCCAGATTTCCTCTTTAATAGTATTGGCTTTGACAAAGTGATAGATTCCATCATGGAAATATGCCAGAGCCTCCTCCGACCATGGTTGGAACATACTTAGCTCTCACTTTTCTGCTAAAAATTATTCTTGTAGTTAACTAGAAACCAGTGAAATTGACTTTCCTGAATGTTTTCAAGCCTGCCGTTCATTACTTTGCTTCGTAAGCTACGACAGAAACAATGGTTACCACTGAAGGTGGCCCTTCACAGATCTCTGTCCCAAGGAGCTTACAAGCTGAACTTCAACAGTGGGAGGGCCACAAAGGGGGAGCAAAATGAGGGGCTGTTCAGAATTACTCAGGCTAAAGCTCACATCGAATCTTTGAGATAAAGCCACGATTTTCCCCTCCGCAAAAAAGGTGCACTCCATGGATTTCGACGATACGTGGCATCCGGCCACACACCCTTCCGGGGCCGTGCTGCCTGCCCTGCTTGCCCTCTCTGAAGCCTTGCCCACGAAGCGAAGGATTTCTGGCCAGGACCTGCTCTTGGCTTTCAACGTGGGCATTGAAGTGCAAGGCAGGCTGCTGCAGTTTTCCAAGGAGGCCAGCGACGTGCCGAAAAGGTACAATATTGTAACGTAATGTTCGCTACAACATAGGTATTCATGACGATCCATTCTGGCCTTAGTGCCGGACGCTGGGCCTTCAGGTGTTGCCGGCTACAACTACATGCTCGATTGGCAGGGCGGGGAAGGCTTGGCTATCGAAATGGTAGCAAGACGCACGATCCAGCCAGAGTGAGGAAGCATTGAATCCCACAAGCTCAGAGTGTTTTAGCCACAAGAGGGCCGTTCCATCTCCTGCAGTGTGTTACCGACACGAGTGATGCAGAAGGGAAATGCTGTCTCGATAGCATTTCAAGAGCCAGTGGGGTACAGTGGTGAAGAGCATGGGACTGGGACTCAGAGGATCTGGGTTCGAGTCCCCGCTCAGCCATGGAGCCAACTGGGTGCCTTTGGGCCAGTCACAGACTCTCAGCCCAGCCTACCTCACAGGGTTGTTGTTGTGGGGATAAGATGGAGGAGGAGAATGATGTAAGCTGCCTTGAGCCCTTTGCAGGAAAAAGGCAGGATGTAAATTGCAAGATAGATAGATAGATAGATAGATAGATAGATAGATAGTTTTTCTGCAGCAGTGGTGGAGACCCTTCACATGATGTTGGACTCTGATTCCCATTAGCCCCAGCCAGCAGGTCAGAAATGCTGGGCGCTGCAGCCCAAAGCACCTGGAGGCTGCCAGGTTGGGGAAGCCTGGTTTGTGTTGCTTGCCTGCTAAATTAGACAAGACTCAAGAGCAATAGAACCAGAAGAGTGGCGTGGAGGCACTATTACGCTTCGGCCAGCAAGGCTGGGGGCGGAAGGGTCACGCAGACATGCCCTCCAGGGGCTGACCTGGGGCCAGACATCGCCTCTTAGCCCAAGCTGACCGGCAGGGCGCTTGCGAGGATACATGCAGGGGTGGGGCGGGGGGAGAAGTGACAGGTGCTGCTCTTGGAAGGAAGTTGGCATAAATACACGAGTGGCATGTGCAACAGAGTGTGCTGGTGTGTTCTAACACTATACTATGTTCAACCGGCTGGCCAGCTATGTCCCCTTCCCAATTACTCCATTCCGGCAACCCTCTGCCCCCCTTCCGCCCCTACAATTCTCACCGAGCAGTTTGGGTTGGCGGGATTCTTTCCTGAAAGGTTCCCTTTTTGTGCTTGGGTGTTTTCCCAGTGTTTTCCTGCTGATGTGTCTCATGCGTACGTGGATGAATGATTTGGGGTGTGTGAGCACGAATATCAGCAACAGAGGGGGCCAGGGGCTGCTTTGAGGGCCATGCCAGGGTTGCACTGATCTCAACCGTTTCTTCGGAACATGCTATTCACACACGGCTGTTCTTTCTCAGGTTTCACCCGCCGTCCATAGTTGGTACCTTGGGCAGCGCCGCCGCCACAGCGAAACTCTTGGGTCTGGACCAGTTTCAGTGCAAGGAAGCGCTGGCCATCGCTGCCTCTTATGCTGGCGCCCCCCTGGCCAACGCGGCCACCCAGACCAAGCCTCTCCACATGGGCAATGCGAGCAGGCATGGCTTGGAGGCGGCCATCTTGGCCTCCTTGGGCCTCAAGGCAAACAAGCTGATCCTGGACCTGGAGGCGGGCCTGGGCGCGTTCTACACCGACTATGTGCCCCAGCCACTGCCCGGCCTGCAGTCCTATTCTTGGCTGTTGGAGCAGCAAGATGTCGCTATCAAGAGTTTTCCGGCACATCTGGGGATGCACTGGATGGTGGAGGCAGCCCTGGCCGTCAGGAAACACCTGGCAAAGAGTGGGGAGTCTTTCCCCAGTGGCAGAATCCAAAAAATTGTGCTTCAGGTCCCCAACATTAAATACGTGAACCGGCCATTCCCGGCCTCAGAACATGAAGCTCGGCACTCCTTCCAGTTTTCTGCATGTTCTGCCCTGCTGGACGGCCACGTTTCTATCAAGTCCTTCAAAGAGCACAATGTCTCCAGGCCTGAAGTGAAAGCCCTGCTCCAGAAGACACACCTGGAACATTCTCCCGACAACCAGCCCAGCTTCAACAGCCTGTTCTGTACAGCAAACCTCATCCTTCAGGATGGACACTCCTTCTCTGAGCGCTGCGACACTTTCTACGGCCACTGGAGGAAACCGCTGAGCAGGCAGGACCTGGTGAAGAAGTTCCACAGCAACGCCACCACGGTTCTCTCGGAGGAGGCCGCTGAAAGCATTGTCCAAGCCGTCGACAATCTGGAAAAACTAGAGGACTGCCGTGTGTTGACCTCACTTCTCCAAGGAGGAGAGTCAGCAAAGGTGCAGCTCAAAAGCCAAAATAGGCTGGCTTGAAAGATGCTGCAGAAGCCACGGCCTGTCACCAGCTGAACACTTTTCAAGTCAGGTTTTTTATTAGCCATCTCAGAAGTCTCTTACGGTGGACTAGCTTCTGTCCTGCAAGTTAACTGATGCCTACTTGATTCATTATGTACATGTAAAATCAGAGTAGCCGTATGTCCACTTTCATGTAGGGCTGCCCTCTATTTGAAGTCATCCTCTATTGGGCCAGCTGTCCAATCAAAGTCTGGCTGGAAGGTAATGAATGGTAAGAAGAATGCGTGGGGCCTTGAAGTTGCCCATCGGGGTCACTGTCTCCCCCAGTAAATTGGTCTGAACAGAGATTAACATATGCAAAGTCCGTGTTGTCTTCTTTGATAATGCATTGCCTGTGTTTTGGCAATATGTGGCTGCTTTGCATGAAATGCAATGACCAAGAGATACACACACACACTTCCACCTGCCCAAGAGAGCTTTCTGCAGCTCCTTCAGCTACGTGGTGTAACACTTTTGAAACAGAGGAAAGACTCCAAAGGTTGACTGTGATCTGGCAGAGGAATCCCTTGGTCAAAATGGAGGCCGGGAGAAGCAAATACTCCAGTCCTTGGTCATATCTGAACTCTTGTGTCCTGACTAGCGATGCTTATGCTCATGAACAGATGTATTATATGGAAATACATGCAAGCCCTCATTAGGGTCACAGAATCCTTGAGGAATACTCTGGCTTTGGACTTAGTCCAAGGTTCTGCGATCTACTAGTTCAGAGGTGACCAGGTTGTGCAGCCTTGGGACCACTCTGTCCTCCTGGAAGCTGTCTCAGGCCCAGAAACACAAAGTGTTGTAGTAAAACTGCATCTGTACTCATGACAGCCCTGCAAAATGGGCTCATGACAGCCCTACCAGTCCATCAGCTGCAGCCAATACAGCTGCCAGTGAGGGACAGTGGGAACTAAAGCATCTGCAGGGCCACAGCTCGTCCTCTCTGCTCAGAACGAGTCCCCCGCTCGAGGGCCCTCCTGCTGGCCAGGCTAGCGCTCCCATCTCACCAGCCAGCACAGTCCACACTTCAGCCCGAAGCTTAGCACTGTCCAAGAGGTTTGTCTGCAGATGGTCCCTGCCAAGTGTGAAGCAGACGCGGCAAAACGGCTGATTTATTTTAGGGGTTTGACGGGTGACTTACGGCAACTTGAAAGGTTTTTGTCAAGTTCTTTCCTGCATGGACTCTGCTGCGGACAGAGAAGCCCTCTGCCTGCATTGTCTTTCAAGGAAACTACTTTATTGGTAGGTAAAGGAGGATATCTTGGTGGTTAGCACAGTCACTTTTTAATACGTGTGATGGACTCCTACTTCATCCACTACTTTGCCCAGAAAAACTAGTTGCTGACTGATGGCTTAGAATAGTGGTCATCATTTGCTTCTTTTAAGCAGTGAGGGGGACAGAAGACAGGCCTAAAGGGTCAAGAAATGAAGTTTATTTCTCCTAAATCAGTAGCAGAATAAATTTTATTACTCCAATCCATCACACTAAGTTTCATTTGTTAAATGCATTGGCCAGCAATCTCCAAAGGTTATGACGGCCGAGCTTCCCTCTTCAGGCAAGTTTCAGGAGCTCAGCGATCATGGCCCCAATCCCATCAAAAATTTCATGCAAAGGGGCCTTGCACATGAAGGCGCAAGTGGTGATGATTTTGTTGGTGAAATCCACATGTGCTTCCTTCACATCCTTGCAAATGTGCTTGCATCCCAGTGCTTCTATGGCAGCTGCTGTGAGAAAGAAAGCAAAAAGAATGGGCTGGTTTTCCAGTGGGGGGGAGTTATACCCAGCCATGTACTGACTGTTCAGCTGTTATTTCCACCCCAACGCCATTCCGCCCAAGATTCTCTGCAGCAAGGTGGAAGTTCAAGAGAGTGGCTGAAAAGAGTTAAGGCCGTCCCCGAGTTACCAACGTCCGAGTTACGAACAACCCATACTTACAAACAATCTGCCATAAAGCGCATTACTTTGTTAAAATTAGACCCTTTTTTCTGTCCAAACTTGCATTTAGATACTTGAGAAAGTGGTTTAACTAAAAGACTTTCTGGCTCAACCCTATACACACTTATCTGCCCCAATGAGCTCATCCCTGGCTGGTTTGTCAAAGGAGAATCAACCCCAGTTTAAACCCAAGAACAAACCATGGATTAAAACTACGGGTTGTTTCTCCTTCAATAACCCAAAGTTGCAGCCTGAGAAATCATGGAGAACAGTCCAGTCCCGGGACGGTTTTGCAAGCTGGAACGATCAAGAGTCAATGACCAAGAGTGATGGTCGAGAGTCAAAGGTCATGGCTCTCTCCTGCAAGTTTCAAATCAACCCCTAGTTAACAAACAATTTGCTAACAGGTTAACAAGCAGGAGTTGTCTAGTCATGCAAGCCGAGTCACAGGCACACAGATGACCTTCCAAGCCATTTCCTACCTTCCGTCGACATTGTTATTGTGGCCAACAGTGACTTCACAGCCGGGGAAGACCTTTGCGGCCAGCACGGGAGAGATGCAGCACAAGCCAAGAGGCTTCTTTGCGCTGTGGAACGCCTCAAGCGTGGACTTCACGAGCTCATTGACGGTGCAGTCCTTTCCTTCTTCAGCCCAGGAACACAGGTTCTTGGCCACACCAAAGCCACCTTGAAGGGAAGAGAAAGCACAGGTCTTGCTAGCATTTCTTCTCCTTTAGCATCTGGCACAATTCCTCGTATCAGTTCTCCGGGGCCACCAACATGCAGCCCATGTTATCAGCCAGAGGTGAGGAGGAGAGAGAAAGGAAAGAGAACCACACTGGTTCAGTTGGTTGATGTTCTGTGGAAACCACTTCCTTTTAGCAGAGGGTTGAAAGCCACAGACGTGCAGATGTTCTGAGTATGATCCTTCCAGATCAAGGAAGCCAAGGCATGGGCACTGAATCCCTGCTGATCTGGCTTCTAATGGAAAGCCACAAAGATCACCTGAAGGACCATCGGGGAGCTTGTGGACAGGAGTTCCCAGAGAGAAATGTGTCTGAAATAGACTGCAGTCCACAAAAGCCAACACCAGAATAAACGTGTTAAGTCTTGGGGGGCTCTGCTTTTCAGTAACAGTGCTGAAATCAGCACAACACATAGCACTCTAAATAAATTGTACAAGCCACAAAACAAGTTCATAGCAGAACTCCAAAGAAGAGACCACAAGATACCCCCGTACCTGATTTGCCAGTTACAATTAGTGGGTTCCTTCCTTTCTTGCCTTTAGCTATTTCCTCTGCACTCTTTTGGAAAGCAGTACCTGTCCTGCTTTTTCTTTCTTGCCCCAAATGACAATGAGAGAGGTTTTAGGGGTTTCCTTAATAGCGATATAAATATTTACCCCGTATAATAAAAGCTACTCTAAGAAGGAGTAGAAGATGGCTGCGTTCATCTTTTGAATGACCAAAATAAAATATCACCAACATGAAAGAGATTACAGCAGCCTTCTGGAACTGACCTGGTGATTCCCATTACAGCATTTAAGAACTGCTACTCAGAAAGTGACAGAATGGGTATTTCTTACACTGAAATTACTTCTGTATAAGAAATTGGGCCAGTCACGCACCTTGGACCAGGGGTGGAATTCAAGAGTTGGGGGCAGAGCAGGCCCATGTTGAAGTTAAGCTTTTACTTGTGGTTATAACCACAAACAGAAAACCAAACCAAAGAAAACCAAAGACCCATTTAGAAAATGTAATTCCTTTTATTTACATCATTTCTAAAATGGTCTGCTTCTCTTGCTTCATTCCCAGATAATATGTTGTACACCCACATAGCATAATGGAGAGGGAGGGCTCACAGGGGTCTGGGTTGGGATTGCAAAGGCCACAGGGGTTTCCTCCCCTCTACTTGAATGCCCCCTTTTCTGTCCACGTACTTTTTATTTTCTGTTAGCTTCGATTTTGCTGGCTGACGTCTTTGCCTGCTTTGGGACCTTTCGGATCCACTTCGCCTTTAAGGGAGTGGATTTAGCTTTGGCAGCTGCCCCTGTCCATTCTTCTTGAACTGGCCTTTTAGGGCTGGATTTGCATCCCTTACTCGTGAGCTGATTGCTGGATCATTCTGTCCTGCCTGTATTCTCTTGGCCCCCTAAATTACCTTTCCATTGTTTCTGTATTTACACCTGACATTTTCCACTAGTTAACCATTACATGCCTCTCCTCCTGTACTTTTCCACATATCTACTGCTCTCCTATCTCATTGCTAAACTCGCATTTCCCCCCATCTGAATAAACCTTTCCATTTCATTTGCTAACTCTGGCCTTTTCTGCTTCCCATCACTTCTGGTGCAAGTTCAACAGCACTAAATAAAATCTATTGTTGTGGGTAAGATCACGTGACTGAGTTGCTCCTATCAACAGCTTTATTATTTGCGTTGTCCTGTGACGTGTTCTCTTGGCCAGGGGTTAGGGCTGGTACTGAGGGATGCAAACTCCCTTCTTGAGGGGCATGTCTAGCCCTGTTTGTAGCAGAACGTCCCCATCTGAGTTTCCTGCACGTTTAAAATATAGGACACTTCACCTCTTGCCGGCACCCCAGTGAAGGAGCAGGAACTCTGTTATTCCAGGATCAACAACATTGCAGAGGACTGCAAGAACCTCTAAGGCTTGTAAAGAATTCAGGCTGAGGACTTTTTGATTTAAAAAAGACTCTGTCTGCAACCCTGCAGTGAACCCAAGTGCTCACAGCCAGCCAGGGCGGAACAGTGGTGAAGAGCGCAGGACTGGGACTCAGGAGATGGGGGTCCTTCCCCCGTCAGCCATGACTGGGGGCCAGTCACAGACTCTCAGCCCACCTTGCCTCACAGGGGTGTTGTTGTGGGAAAAGACTGGGAGGAGGACAATTAAGTGAACGGCCTTGTGTTCCTTGGAAGGGAAAAAGGAGGGATAGAACTGTAATACATGCGGATTCTTGAAAGCAAATAGGAACATTGGAGTTAATTCTACTGCAAAGGAAGGCAGCAGGTAAGTGATGTGGGGTGGGAGAGGGGAGGTCAGTCTCAGAACAAAATTGGGTTCCGGGTCATATTTTTGCTGACACACCACAGGGATGTGCTCAAAGATAGCTGTGCTTGCGTTTGTTCTACTGGCCCGACAGCGCTCCCTGCTGGCGAAACTGTGCACTGAGCCTTTTTCCTGAGCAGATCTTCTCTGGTAAGAAAAGACCACATAAATGGTGGGAGAACACAGGAGACGCCCGTGTCTGCAACACCCATGGAATTCGGGGAACCTGGCAGCGTGATGGTGTCATAAAAGCCTAGACTGGGGGTAGCAAGCAAGTTGCAATTTTCCTATTAATAGTTGCTTGTGCAGCAAGCCAGTAAATTCATTCCCCAAACAGACACTAATAGGGGAGAGAACTCCCCAAAGACTGCTGCACGTTTTAAGCTTTCAGGGCTGCCCAGCCAGTGATCCAGTCGTTTGATTTGTGCAGTGCAATCTTGTGCCGATGCTGCTAGGAAGAGCTTGCTGTCAAATTCACTGGGGTGCATTCTCAGGAAAGGGATTCCAGAAGGGGCCCTCAGCTTTCAGTGGGGAATTTGAGAAGCTGCTGTGGTCAACCCCACAAATTGCCTAATGGTGCCTGCACTTTGGTGCCTGCCTGGCGTGCCTATTCCATAAAAACTGTTGGACCCATGATGTCTCTAATGAGGGACTGATTCAGCTAATTGCCGACAGTGCAATTACAATTACAGTTGCAATCACAGTGCAAGCATTCCAACTAACGCTTCTTCTAAACACTCGTTCCGGCAATATTCCATAGGTCCTTCTTTTTGAAGTTATTACAGATACAATTCGAACTGGAGTGCACTCAATATTCACTGGTGTCTACACTCTTTTAAATTAGCTACCTGCTTCTTGGAAATTAACAAATGGTCAGTGTAAATGGGTTTGCTGTACCCTTTTAACTGCTAAGGACTAAAATTACAACTCTTTCCTGATACAATGAAATGGATTGAGGATCTTGCTACTTTTTCAATATCTGAATAGAGATGCCACCTTCAAATGGATACATTCTCATATATTTGTTCCACTTCTGCTGAAGCCTGTGTATAATTGCTAGAAAGCTCCATGCATTCCATAGCCATACATTTTTAAAATAGATTTTAAAAAAATCCAAGATTTTTGGAGGCATTGAAGACACTATTGGAGGTGCTCACAGGTGGCAGGAGTGCATTTCCAGGAAGTAATGCAACCTTTCTGCCTTGCGGAGGTCAAATTGCTACGGCCATCCAAACTGTAGCAGGCCCTGCATTGGAACAAGGCAATCAAAGTCTTTAGGAAGCACACACCAGGTTTCCGGGATTGCTCTTGCCCTGAGACATGGTGCCTGTGCTCCATTAATGTTCCTGCTCACCAGGCACATCGAGTTCAGCAACATGCTCATGGCCCACAAAGACAAGTATATCAGCACGGATTCTGTAACAGTGCTCACCTGGAAAGACAATAGCGTCAAATTCATCAACTCTCAGTTCGGCCAGATCTTGGATGTTACCTCTTGCAAGTCTGGCACTTTCCACTAATACGTTCCTCTTTTCTTTGCTTGGGTGACCCTTTAAATGATCTACAACATCCTTCTGTTCAATATTAGGTGCAAACATCTTTACCTGAAAGAGAAACGAGGCAAGGAAGAATAAATGGGACACTGTATAACCAAGACACAAAGCAGCACTGTTACAATTTCTAGGAACTCCAGTTGTTCCTAAGTAAAAAGACCATTGCCAATTGCAAGAACAAGAATCTTTGCAGTCACCATCTCCGACAAGATCACAATGCTTTTGGTGAGATTTCGATATTCATTTGAAGAGGCCAGCATTTTAGGCAACAATACCACAGACAAAACTTTCAAAACATGATTCAGTCGCAGCACAGAAATTAGGCACAGCATGGCTTTAAATGGGTTTTATTAATTGATCTGTTGGGGGTAAAAAGATAAAAATAATTTCCCACTATTATGTTGCAAAATTGGTTTGTACCCAAAGTGAGTGCAACGTAAGTCCTATTCATCTCAATAGATCTACTCTAATTCTACTCAGAATTCTCATTACAACCCCACTGTAAAAAAAAAAAAAAACAAAAAACAAAACAACAGCAAAAACCAATCTTCCAGTACTGTAGTCAGAAATACTTTGGAAAATTTATTTGTATTTAAAAGTTAAAATAGTCTTCTGATATATATATGCTTTCAGCGCAGCAGCATTCAGTGGAAGCTAAGCATGTTTAGAAGTAAATCCTACTGCATGCAATGGGATGGCCTTCCTGCTAAGCCCGTTCAGGATCGCTACCACGGTTGCTTTCAGGATCGCGCTCCTGTGCACACTTTGGTGACAGGAAACTTCACCCATCACAGCACAGGGTGCGGCAAGGTGCGCTGCAAAGAAACCATGTCTAAGAAAGTGATTCTAAAAGGAAGTCAAAAATGAGAGATCCGTATTACAGTGGAAAACGCGGCCAGTGGCAAATGTTCTCAGCTAGACATTTAGCTACAACTACAACGCAGTGCGAGTTATTTACTCAAAAGAGCCAAATCCCATGTCTGTCCTACAACTCCCAGCATTCTCAGCCACTTTTCAGAGGAGAAAGGCGACAGCCTTTTCGACTCGAAAGGATCGCTGCAAGTGGATATAGGTAGCAGCCGCGCTGGTCGCAGGAAGAGCTCCCCAAGGGCTCGCCCGGCCGGCCAGGCGCACGGGCTGCTGCAGCGTCGCCCACCCGCGCCCCCCACCCGCGCGGCAGCACCCCATCTCTGCGCGCGGCCGCGTTAAGCTGGCGGGCGGATGTGGGGCGAGAATCGGGGCCAAGTAACGGGGCAGAAGCGCCAATGGCAGCACGCCTTGGACGGCCCTCGGCACATTCCACGGGGCTGTAAAGCCAGCTCGGGGGCTCGTGCCCGAAGTGCAGGCGAGGCGTCTTCTCCAAGGCTGCAGGGGCGCGGGAGCGACGGGGTCGGCCGCCCGGACCCGCAGCCTCGGGGCTGTTTCCGAGCCTGGCAGGGGCCCGCAGAGCCCTCACCTCCGCGCCAGCCCGGCTGAGGTGCACCAGGGCCGCGGAGGCCTCGTGGATCTCGCTGCCGTCGAAGACGCCGCAGCCGGCCAGGACTAAGGCCACCCGCTTGCCCATGGCTGCCTCCCCGCGCGCCGCCTCGCTCTCCTCTCGGGCCCCGCCAGCGGCGGCCCCGGCTCCGGCGCGCCCCCTGCCGGACCCAGGGAGGAGCGCGCCGCTGTCGCTCCGCTTCCTCTTCCGAAGCGGGAACAGGAGGAGCTTCGCTCCTGGAAGCCCCGCCTGGCGCGGCTTTTGTGCATTTGCGGGAGGGGGGCCCTCTGTGCTGCGGCGTCCCTCCCTCCCGGCCAGTCTGATGAGGGGACCGGACGCATGAGCCGCCCCCGGGGGGAGCCCGCTCTGCAGCGTGGTCGGGCGTGCGCGGCCGGGCACGCGCCCCTTGGCTCGGAAGGCCGGCCGCGCCGGGATCCGCCGCGCATGAGAGAGCGTTTCGCAGCCCTTCCAGAGACACAAGCCGCGGGGCAGCGCCGCTGCGTCCCCTCCCGCCGCCTCCAAAAGCGGGCGGGCGCACGGCCAGGGACACGAGCGCCCGCGCCGCGCGCCTTCCCGGGGCTGCCTCGTCGCCTGACAGGCTCACGTGCCTCGGGCGGGCCTCCTGGTCCTGTGAACAGCCGCCCTGGGGTCAGGTGACTCGTCGCTCGCGGGCGACGGGGAGGCCGGAGGAAGCGAGACGGGCCGTGGCGCCATGGCCGCGGCGCGGGGGTCGCTGCCGCTCCTGCTGCTGCCGCTGCTGCAGCTGGCGGCGCGCGCCTGCCCGGCCGAGGAGCAGCCGCGCTGGCCCGTGCCGTACAGGTGAGCTGCGGGCGGCTGCGCGCGCCGTCCAGGGGCTCGGGCGCGGCTGGGGTTGCCGCGCCGGCGCCTCCCGACCGGGTCTGGCTGGAAGTCCAGGCGCCCGCCGTGCTGGCCGTGGCTCGTGGGAGCTGCGCTCCGCAACGTCTTTGCCGGGAGTGCTGCCCTCGGGGACGCCCCGGGACCGCACGGCTTGAAGGAAATACTGACCGCCGTGGGGCCAGACCTGTGCCCGCGTGTGCCTGGCGCCCACCCCGGAGGTCTCTTCGCGGTGAGAGAAGGACCCAAACGCCGACCCGGAGGTTTGGCAGGCAGCGCTTTTCCAGCAGAGGCACCCACGCTTCAGTGTGGCGTAGTGGTCAAGAGCTGGGACTGGGACTCAGGCGATCTGGGTTCTAGTCCCCCCTCGGCCATGGAGCCAACTGGGTGCCTTTGGGCCTGTCACAGACTCTCAGCCCAGCCTACCTCACAGGGTTGTTGTTGTGGGGATAAGATGGAGGAGGAGAATGATGTAAGCTGCCTTGAGCCCTTTGTAGGAAAAAGGCAGGATATAAACTGAAACTGAACTGAAACTGCTCCAACTCAGAAGAAGTAATTAAAAAGCGGGTGGGGGCAGCTGTGCCAAATACCAATATGTGAAATGAAATGGCCCCCCCGAGAAAGAGAGCTCTGATATGGGGCTGGGAGCATTTTCCAGCACTGGACCTACATAACTCAGAAGTAGGCCAGAAAGCCGACTGAGATGTTTTGGACTTCCACTCCCAGCCTTCCTAGCCCCTTTCCATGCTTCCAGGGACTTCTGGGAGTTGAAGGCCAAAACATCTGTGACCTATGTTCTACCTGTCCTTAGTGTAAATATGCTTTTTTAAATAATATATTTATTTTAATGCAGGCGTTTTGATTACCGCCCCAAAACAGATCCCTACTGTCGGGCCCGCTATAGCTTTTGCCCAGCTGGTTCATCAATTCCAGTAATGAAGGACAACGATGTCCTTGAGGTTTATCGATTGCAAGCGCCTGTCTGGGAATTCAAATATGGAGATCTCCTTGGGCACATGGTATGTTGACTTCTCTTCCCACCCTCCCACCTCCTTAATATTTTTTCTGTCCTCCCAATTAATTTTAGAATCTGAAAAGTACAAACAGGTAGATTTGCATAAATGGATGAATTCTAGGTCTAGAAATGTATTTAGAAAATATTAACATACCTACTGAACTTCTGGCAGCTAATGGTGGCTATCCAAGGAGCATTCTTTATGCTTTGGGATACACTCTGTGATTTATGTTAAAACACACACAAATTTTAAGGAAAACTTTTAAAAATATACTTGCAGATTGAATGTTTATCCCAACTGGTGCTGTTTACTGGCACGAGACACTGATTTACTTTTTCCTTCTAGATCTTAAAATTCTTAAAGTGCCCAGAAATCTCATTTTCCCGATGGATTTATGTTACAGCTTTTATAGTCTTACCTTTCCTGACAGCATATTGGGGCAAAAGGACACACAGATACAGTAAAGCAGCAGAATCTTCCAGTTGTGGAAAACCTAGCTCATAGGAAAATGTAGCTGGCTCTTTTTTCAGTGAACAGCAGCATTCAAGCCAGTAGATCATTTTCAGATTCTGCTTTTCGGCTGCAGTTCTGTACATCCCTGCCTAGGAGGGATGCCTAGTTATTGAACATACAGTGAGATTGACTCATGCTTAAGCTTGCACCAGATCAGACAATTCTAGTAGAATACGGAACTTGGTTGCTTAGGATCAAGGCCCACTGTATTCAGTGCAGCTTCCACTCACCAAAATCTGCACAACCTTCCAGCCAAAGCCCAAATCCAACCTCTTGGGGGATCCAGTTAGACCTTGGGGCGCTCCAGATAGCACCACACCTTTCCTCTGACTGCACCCATTCCCTGGTTCGGTGGCTTTTACATGGAATTGTTGCCCATTTTCTCCTAAGGCTGAGTTACTACACTGACAGCTTTAATATGCTAGGATTGGTTAGTATTTTGCTCCTGCCCTCTCACCTTCAGCTCCACCTTTCACTGGAATGAGGTTCCTCCAGAGCGTCTCAGAAGTGAATTGCAGAGGCCCAACATCTCTGCCTTAGGGTGACTGTAGGTGGAGGAGGTGGAGAATGAGGAGACTTTGAGCTGCCAGATTAGAAGCCACAGCTGCTTCACCTGCAGAAGGTGCTTGGCAACTCCTGTTGGAAGTAGAAGCATCTCTCTGGTTCTGCTCAATTTTTTCAGGTTCCCCCTTCTTTTCTGCATGGAGGACTCTATTCTACAGGGACCAACCTTCCATGTGGCTCAGAAAAGGGTGAGGTACTGGAGCATCCAGCACAGGGGACAGGATGCAGGGAAATCTCCCTCTGATGCACTTTCCTAAATTTAGAGCCAACTTTTAGTTTTCTACCTTTCCCTTTTAACCAATGTATTTTGTAAAGTATATGGATTCGGGGGTACCTTTGTCTTAAAAGCTAACTTCTAAGAATTTTGTTGTTATTCTTAGTTGCGAAGTCGTGTCCAGCCCATCCTTGCAGTCATTTTCGGAAGGTCTCTTCACAAGGAACACTGGGGAGGAGTGCCTCACTTGTTGTTGTTGTTGTTGTAGTTGCTAGTTGCGAATTTGTGTCCAACCGATCACGACCCCATGGACAACACTCCTCCAGGCCTTCCTGTCCTCCACCATCCCCTGGAGTTCACCTAAACTCACACCAACTGCCTCAGTGACTCCATCCAGCCACCTCATCCTCTGCCGTCCCCTTCTTCTTTTGCCAGCTATTGTT